AAATAATGAGGAAAATAAGGAACACACCTCAACCACATGCAATGAACACGAAACTGAAAAATGAACAACTCATACAAATAACAGAGTAAAATCAACAAACACATGAAACAAAACAGCCAAAATCTCACTCAACGACAACACAACCATTACCGTCAATGCCCACAGAAGACGAATTGAACAATTTTTTTCTACAACGGTATGATACTCCACCTGCTCTAATTAGTCCAATAAAAACACCACCAATAAAACCATCATCAACTCCAACACCACTAATACCACTTACACTTTTACAATTATTAATGCTTCCACCACCACCGTCACCATTTTCACCACGGGAACCGAACACACAAGAAACAACACCTATATTGGATAACATAAATATTCTAGTAGACTTATCCATACCACCCTTACAAATACAGCTATATGTATCATCTGATGAAGCAGATTATTAAAATGCACAACTTAAATTTTGAACGATTTTCGTTAATTTCTCCAATGATTACAATCTTGGAACATAAAGTTTACCTCAAGTAAAAAAAAATTTTTTTGATTACAATGTTTCCAAGATAAGTTTTGTTTCTCGTTTGATATTCACTTTTTTTATATTCATTTCCTTTTTTTTTAATTTTATTACTCTATTATTTTTTGTTTTGTTTTGTGTTTTTTTTGAAATTCTTTTATTTCCTTCTTTTTTTCTTACATAATACAAATTTGTACAACGCATGTAAGTATGTATAAATTACATTTACTTCGTACACATGTAAATATGTAGAAAAAAAAAATATTTTGTAACAAAACAAACAAAACTGTCTTTTATTTTTAAAGTATACATAGACATAAAACACAAAGATTAAAAAATAACATAAAATAAGAAGCATATATAATTTTTATTAAAGTAAAAACAGGTAAATACATTAAAATTTATATTAGTTATTTTTTTTGGGTAAACATTAAAAAATTGGTTAGATAAAAGTCAATTTTATTCGATTTTCTTAAATTCAATATTGTTATAAGCGCCGCCAATATACTTCATGGACAATTTTTCATCAGCCGCTTTATCCCGCATAGACAACCAGGTGGCGCTGTCATCCGCAAAAGCCTTGGTAAATCGGGCAGGCAGGAATACGTTGAAACTTTTCTCAAGTTCGGCAACAATCCGTTCACCAAACTTTGATTGGACCTTGCGCAGCTTCGTGACGGTGAACTGGCTTCCAGGAGTCAGCTCGGACAGCGGTTTCGTGGGTAGGAATTTCTCCACACGTCCAACAGCGTTGATTTTTTGAAGGTCCATTGCTTCTGAAGTTTTCGGTTGCTCTTGGAGATGATGTTCGGCCAACTTGGAGAAGGTTGAATGAAAAATTCACTCATACTAGGCTCTATTTATACTTAAAATTCAACCCCCAGCAATGTACAATCCCCACTTTAAATGCGCAAAAATTGGTGCACATAAAATAGATGTGCAAAAAAATTGGTGCGCATAAAATAAATGTGCAAAAGTATCTGCGCAAAAGAGTATATTTTTAAAATTAAAAAAAAAATTTTTTAACCAAACAATTTAGTATACCCCCCCCCCCATTTTACCAAAAAAAATTTTTTTCATTAAATTTTTGATATTTTAGAATTTCTATTGGACGGGAATTCCCCGCGAGCCGCTGTGATGGGGGATTCCCGCGCGCAACTTGTAGAGTGTTGACTTGCCGCGGGAGCATCAACGCGCACAGCGCATGCGGTATTAGAGCAGTTGAGTATTTCCAATACATGAAATAATGGTTGATTCAAAATTTTCTTAGTTTTAAAAATATTTTTATAGCTGAATAATATCAAAATTATAATATTTAAATTAATATTAAAATAATTAATAAATTATTTAAATCAATATTAAAATAATTAATAAATTATTTAAATCAATATTAAAATAATTAATAAATTATTTAAATAATAATATTTTAATAAATAATAATAAAATTTTCAATAGTTGTAAATAATAACACAGCCACAAAAAAAAAGAACCCGGGCCGGGGAATGAGACCACCATTTCTTGATGTATTTTGATGCGCTGAACACGAATCTGAAGTCCGTTTAGCTACATCACGTCAGGATTTCGACATAACCTCAAAAAACATAGCTGATTTTAAATGACAGGAGAAATTTTTTAAATAATGGCAGATTTGCTTGAATCTTGTTACTCGGGGGTTTTTGGGGTCGCTAATTACGAATTTAACGTCAGATTTATAAAATTCAAAATGGCGGACGAATTTTTAAAAAGTAGTTGGATTTTTACGAAAATTGGTATCTAGGGGTTTTGGGAGTCGCTGATTACAAATTTATCGTCAGATTATTCAAATGTAAAATGGCAGATATAGTACGCTGGTCAAATATCTTTATGTTTCTACATGTGTCTGCATCCAGCTATGGGATTCCTTTTAGCAACGGCGCTAAGTAGCGCATTGCATTAATTAGCACTAAAAAATTAATTTTTTTTACAGACTTATTGTATATGATAATCAAGATCAACTCCCGTTTGAATTTTGTCAAAAAAATTAATTAGTGGCGTGTAAGATAAAAAACAAAGTCTATCGGCGCTACGAGTTAGCGAATTGGTCAAGATTTTGTTCCAAATCGCTACGGTGTAATCGCTTCGGAGCGTAGCGCAAAGTCACTAGCTATAACACAAATTGAAATTCACTTAAGAGGAGAATACACTGAGTTTTTTTCAAAAAATCAAATTTTTTTTAGTTTTCGTTACCATAATTATTTAAGATAGCGGTAAAAATTGTTTACAATGTATCCAAGGGTTATAAAAGGGTTAAAATAAATGTTTATGTTAAGCATGGAGATGATTGTTCGTTTTTTTTAAATTGTAATATAAGTACTGTACTGTACTGTACTGTACTGTACTGTACTGTACTGTACTGTACTGTACTGTACTGTACTGTACTGTACTGTACTGTACTGTACTGTACTGTACTGTACTGTACTGTACTGTACTGTACTGTACTGTACTGTACTGTACTGTACTGTACTGTACTGTACTGTACTGTACTGTACTGTACTGTACTGTACTGTACTGTACTGTACTGTACTGTACTGTACTGTACTGTACTGTACTGTACTGTACTGTACTGTACTGTACTGTACTGTACTGTACTGTACTGTACTGTACTGTACTGTACTGTACTGTACTGTACTGTACTGTACTGTACTGTACTGTACTGTACTGTACTGTACTGTACTGTACTGTACTGTACTGTACTGTACTGTACTGTACTGTACTGTACTGTACTGTACTGTACTGTACTGTACTGTACTGTACTGTACTGTACTGTACTGTACTGTACTGTACTGTACTGTACTGTACTGTACTGTACTGTACTGTACTGTACTGTACTGTACTGTACTGTACTGTACTGTACTGTACTGTACTGTACTGTACTGTACTGTACTGTACTGTTTTTAAGTTGTTTTTTAATTAGAAGAATCCGTAGAGTAGCTAAGCGTAGCGTAGCTTAGCGTAGCACTACTTAGCGCCGTTGCTAAACGGAATCCCATAGCTGGGCACCTTCACGTGGTGACGGTGGGCAACGGAGTTTGTCCGCTATCCGGCTAAGTTCCTGGATAATGGCTTTGATGCCGTCATGGCAGACACACGTAGGAAACGTATTACGATGCAGGGACTCGGAACACCAGTATCGGCGGTTAAGCAGGCTCTCAGGCGTCGTCATCCAGCAACTGCAGCTCTTCATTGATGGGAAACTTGGCTAATGTAGAGTATAATACGACAAGAAAACAACCTGATATAGACTTAAACTGTCATATTTGTAGCAAAAATCGAGACCTTTTTTGTTATATTTGCAGTAAATTCGAGGTAAAGTCTTTGCGGAACAGGATTGACGAAGAAGTACGTAAACTGTATAATGAAATCTTCGGTTTTGAGATTGATCAGATGTCACTGATGTAACGGTGACATATGAAATTTTATTTTTATTTTTAACACTGAAACCTTTTATTTCATTCATACAAAAGTAGCAATCTTCTTCACATGTAGGTTTTGTCCAAACTGTTGGATAAGAGTATTTGATAAACTCCTTATTTTTAACAGATTTCCAACCAAAGATCATCTTTCTGCAACAATTACAAATGATGTTCGGAACCCAATTAGAAGATAGATCAATCTCAAAACCGAAGATTTCATTATACAGTTTACGTACTTCTTCGTCAATCCTGTTCCGCAAAGACTTTACCTCGAATTTACTGCAAATATAACAAAAAAGGTCTCGATTTTTGCTACAAATATGACAGTTTAAGTCTATATCAGGTTGTTTTCTTGTCGTATTATACTCTACATTAGCCAAGTTTCCCATCAATGAAGAGCTGCAGTTGCTGGATGACGACGCCTGAGAGCCTGCTTAACCGCCGATACTGGTGTTCCGAGTCCCTGCATCGTAATACGTTTCCTACGTGTGTCTGCCATGACGGCATCAAAGCCATTATCCAGGAACTTAGCCGGATAGCGGACAAACTCCGTTGCCCACCGTCACCACGTGAAGGTGCCCTGGATGCAGACACATGTAGAAACATAAAGATATTTGACCAGCGTACTATATCTGCCATTTTACATTTGAATAATCTGACGTTAAATTCGTAATCAGCGACTCCCAAAACCCCTAGATACCAATATTCGTAAAAATCCAAATACTTTTAAAAAATTCGTCCGCTATATTGGATCCGCCATTTTGAATTTTATAAATCTGACGTTAAATTCGTAATCAGCGACCCCAAAAACCCCCGAGTAACAAGATTCAAGCAAATCTGCCATTATTTAAAAAATTTCTCCTGTCATTTAAAATCAGCTATGTTTTTTGAGGTTATGTCGAAATCCTGACGTGATGGAGCTAAACGGACTTCAGATTCGTGTTCAGCGCATCAAAATACATCAAGAAATGGTGGTCTCATTCCCCGGCCCGGGTTCTTTTTTTTGTGTGGCTGTGTAATTTAAAAATTGTCGAGACCCGGGATTGAACCAGGGATTTGAGATTTATAGTCTCACGTGTTCCCTCTACACTATTTCAACTTATTAAATTTTAAAAATTAATAAGGGTTATAAAGAAAAAAAGCTGGAAATATCAGTTTTAATATATTCATTCATTTAAAAAAAATCAAAATTATTTTTACTTTCATAATGATTAAAATAATACATTTTCTTTGAGTGATTCAGCAGACGTAAAATATTCATTTCGAGAATCAATCTCATCAACATTTCGATTCAAATTTCTTACAACACATTCATTGATAGGCTTTAAAACCCAATTTCGTAAAATTAATATATTGTTTGCTGCACACCATTTTTTAAACAGAGTATGGTAAGTACAGATATGCGATGTTGTCTCTGTTTTAAGCTTTTTAATTGACGGGCAATTAAAATCTTCAAGGTTGTAAACATTAATTACATATTTCTCGAGCCAGATTTTTTTCTCAAGCCCCTTCACGTAGATTGCTCGTGCACAACCCAACAGCTCCTGAAGAATTGACCGTAACTCATCATACGGCACATCACCATTTGTCCATTTGAGTCTATGGTAGTTGTGCATCAACCATAAATTCTCACTCTTATATCTCCCAGGTAGAGAACTCCAGCTGCAGGGTGGCTCGAACAGGAACACCATCGGTTGAGCATCTTCCTCAAGAGGTAGAATGGCCAGTTCCTTGAAGATGAAGTCGTTGTAGGGTCTTTTGAAGCCTTGGATGTCCACGATGTAGTCCATGGTTGTAGCAACTGAGAAATTACGTCCAGGCTCTGCCTTTTTATACCCTGAGATTCATCCCCACTACTTATGTTACTTTTTTAACAACGCCGCTGATTGGTTTATACTGAATAATGCGATCGTGAATAATCAAGCAATATGCCGCTGTATTGGCGGGAAAATTTTCACTTGATTCAAATTCCAGTCGTACATCTACAGAAGCTTGTTTAAGAAATTCGTATTGTTTTGAGCAATCAATGACAGCCAATGGTGCATAATCTTTAAAATTATTTCTAGAAGGTAAAGGCTCAGATTCTTTTGCATAGTATGATGATTGAAAATTACAATACATGTCATAAAGAAGAGAAAATTTGTTTTGATTAAAGTTTAAATTTAAATTACCATAAGGGTAATATTGTGAGTTTAAGAATAGTTTGACATTTATGAGATTACAACTATCAAAAAAGTTTGCATATCTTGCCTGGTGATCTTTTCGATTTGTTTGAAAACCAAGAATAACATATCGAGGTTTTTCAACCTGTGTCGAAGTTTTCACAGTCCAGATATGTTTTTGAGTTGCAGGTATAAGTGGATATTCATACATTTCCCATGATCTAAAACTCATACTTATAAGTGGATCCTTTTCAATAAATCTTAATATTTCAATTTTTTGTCGATCATTAACAAATAGGTATGGTATCATCCATTCAATTTTATCAATTACAATTTTAAATTCTTCACGCTCAGCTGCATTAATGTTAACTATAGCATTACGATCTGTTCGAGATCTTGTCAAAATAAGTTCATGTTTTGCATTTACAACTATTTTTCGATAGTCTTCAGCAAAACCAAGAATCATGCTCAATGGTATATTTACATCAAAATATCCATGCTCATTTGACACTCTACTGTCATCATTAAAGTCAAGATAACCAGCATTTTCAGCGTATATAATCTGATTTGGTGTTTGAGAAATGTATGTTTTCATGGTAGTTGTGAGACTAACATTTTTACAACGATCAACTTCGACACCATTTAGTTCATAACGAATCTCATTAAATAGATAAGAAACACCATTGCTGATTAGTTTTGTATTTGTTACATCAGTATTATTAGGTTTTGCTAATCTTCCATGTACATGTAATGTACTTTTACAAGGAAGAATGTATAAATCTTGATGTTGAACTGCAATGCGAATCTCATCGCTATTATTGAATGCTGATGAAACATAAGGTTGATGAGAATGAATCTCATAATGTGCTAATGAATCATCATATTTTACTGGACTTAGAATATTCAAAGTCTCTGCCATTTTTATTGCAACAACAGCAAATAAAAAGAGCACTAATTATTGGTTTTTCTTTCTTCTTTTTTCTTGACGAACTCGCAGACCGAGTTGTTTCAGGAAGAGAACGTTCTGAGGTATTAAGCCCTTGCGAACAGATTGAAGACTGAATGTTTTCTGACATGTTGACTCGTTTATATAACTTCCGCCAGATTTCCTATGAAACACCAGTCCCATTATGTTGACTTAACGTGCAGTCGAATAGTTATAGTTTCACCTCGAAAATTTACTAAATCTCCGTCTTGATCAACAATTCGCAGCTCAATATTATGTATTGTCTTCACGGCGACTGGAAGATAAATGACGTGTGAAGGTACTTCCACAATCTTATATCCTGCAGGCACTATTGGAAAAAACTCGTGAATAGTATGAACTTTTTGATTATTAATGTATGCACCAGTCGTAATACTGCACTCAACACGGATAGAATTCACCTTTAATATAGCCACTGGTAAATCAGATGTATGTGTTTTGTTAGGCGATAAGAGTCGCGGAGCAAATCCTAGTAGTTTTCCAATCGAATCACTTCGTTTGAAATCTATTCTAAGACTGCTTCTTAGTTCACTTCTTAACGTGTTATTATTTGGTTTTATACTTATAACTTGAGCTCCATCAGTAATGGAATTTTGAATATATTTTTCAATATCTTCAATTTCATAACTACCCGGAGGTATAGTAATCACTTGATTACCAATATAAAATTTATTATTTCCTACGTCAATATTAGGAATTGAATTAAAAGTTAAAAGTTCTACGAGTCCAAGAATATAATTTTTATTTGGTAACAATTCTATTGGAGGAAAATATTCAGCTTCTAGTATAGATGAATTACCAGAAATGGTCAGTGTAAACGATTCATCCCTGATGATGTCTTTTTAAAAACTGATTGCTCTCATCAATTTACCCTTATTTATATACTTTTTTTTGGTCAATTAAAGCTGTCCACATAAAAATTTAAGACATAAATGAGCACAATTAATAGTATCAAAATCTTGATAAGTTTCATAATTATACATTATTAGAAGATTATTACCCAAGTAATTCACAAGTTCAAATGGTGGTTGAAGATTACCAAATCTATCAAAATACAATACTTTGTTCTTAACTTTATTATATGCAACCCAATGAGTTCCAGGACCATTTTTATCATCAAGGTTTATAATGGCTGAATCATTCGTTCGAGGTCCTCTTTTCGGTAATTCATTTCGCATAAAAACTCCTCGAAAGTGAGGAATTTTTAATTTTTTAGCATACTTGAGCAAATCAAAATCAGTTAATGCTCGTTGAGGAAGTTTTACAACTTTTTTTTTTTTTAAACATTTTCTCTTTTTCATTTCTTGTCCTTTATATGGTTTTAAATGAAGTCCAGCTCTTTTAGGGAAAGGTTTCAGATGCAGTCCTAATCCTTGTCGATATGGTTTCAAATGGAGGCCTTTACCAAGTGCAACAGCTTCCATTGTTTTATTATGTCGATGAGCTTCTTTTAAATGTTCTCTAGCTGCACTCGCATCATTTACTGCTTTTGTTACTCCTGCAGCTCCTCCAGCAAGGGCTCCAAGAGCACTTAATCCAGCAAAAATTGGAATTAAGGGTAAAACTCCTCCAACTTTTGAAGGTATTGGTAAAATTCTGGGTGCTAAAACTTTCTTTCTGCCTCCTGCATTCTTGACAGCTTTTCGAGCAATTTCAATAGCACTCTTGATTGTTGAACGAGCATCATTGCCTGGAATTATAGATTTTCTAGCAGCATCTACAATTTTTCTTAATGCTGTCCGTTTCTTAGTAGTCACCTTTGTCTTTTTCTTCCTTTTAACTCCCATACCAAGTTTTGACTTGACTTTCATTGTGCCAGATATAGCCAAAGCAGCAGCTTTTTCACCTATACTAGAATCGCTTGCTAAAACACGTTCCCATGCCTTCTTAGCTAATACTCTATCAGCAGCGTTTCTTGCTTCAACGTTTTCTCGATTCTTTGAATATGAAATATCGTGCTCCTTACAAGCTGCGTCCAAAGGATTGACACCAGGATCACCTCGTGCTAGACGTTTTACTAGTTTTGTGCCTGGTCCACAGTATTGATAACCAGGCAGATGTAATTCAAATGGTAACTTGTTAATAAGACTATTCACTAGACCTTTACCTCGAGAGCTGCGATGTATAATCATACCTCTCTCGATGAAAGTTGAGATTAGAATGATTCAAAGGTTATAAAAGAGCTGTATTTATAGCTTTTGCGTCAGTCTGATTCATGATGCGATTCAATAAACAACCTCATAAGCTGCCAGTCGTTAATCTGGACTCAATTGTTCAACAACATGAGAAGAAAGTGAAACGTCACGGTAGTTTATTTTCAGGTAGCATTCGTGCAATTTTCTGTGGTCCGTCAAATTGTGGAAAAACAAATGTCCTCTTATCTTTAATATTACATCTTAATGGTCTTCGATTTGATAACATTTACCTCTACTCAAAATCTCTACAACAACCAAAATATAAATTTTTGGAACAAGTTGTGAGTGAAGTTGATGGAGTTGAATACTTACCATTTAGTGAGCATGAAGAAGTAGTTTCTCCTCAAAATGCAAAACCAAACTCAATATTTATATTTGATGATGTTGCTTGTGAAAAGCAAGATAATATAAGAGCTTTCTTTTGTATGGGTAGACACGTGAGCGTCGACAGTTTTTATTTGTGCCAGACATATGCAAGAATTCCTAAACATTTAGTGCGTGACAATGTTAACTTACTTGTTTTGTTTCGCCAAGATGAAAAAAATTTGAAACATGTCTACGATGATCATGTAAACACAGATATGTCATTTTCTCAATTTCGAGAATTATGTTCAGCTTGTTGGAATTCAGACAAGTATGGATTTGTTGTTATTGACAAAGACAGTAACTTAACTGATGGTCGGTACAGAAAAGGTTTCGATTGTTTTATTTCTCTATAAATAAAGATAATTATTGAAATTTTCTTAGTTTATGTTGAGAGCTTGATATATCAACATGTATCATAATGAAAAAGAATATCTACGTCAAATTGCTACAGCTAGCGAAGCAATTCGACGTAAGCATCGACTGTTTAAGTTAGGAAAAGAAGATGCTGAAAATGTGTCACACCAAACCTTCAAACCTATAGTTGAACCTCTGCAAAAAATTATTACCATAAATGACATTAAAAGTGAAAATGCCAAGACAGAAAAGAAAGAGGAGAAAGACGATGATAGTTTGAATTATATGAGTGCTGATGAAAGTGAAACAATAATTCCAGACCTTGAGTATGACAAAGTACTAAGTAAATATATTTATTTGGTGAATCATAACAGAAAGCAATGTTTAGATTTAGTTTATGGAGTGCGTAAAGTTAGAGACGGATTACTTGTTATTGGTGACACGCCAATAATTTTTAAAGATCACTTTATGAATGTTGGCGATAAACGTTTTAATATTACCTCTGGATTACTAGAACTTTTATTTAAAAATAAACCAGAGCAATCATACATTAGTGAAGATGATATGAATAATTATAAACAAATTCTCATCACCTCAAATGCACACAGAAAGAACTATAGTTCCTCTGAACCTATTCACATGAGTAAAAGTTTTAAATACAGTAATATTATTTCAAGACTTTTTTCTCACAATGAAACTCTAAACACTGGCAGTTCACTTCCTAAATTTATGATTACAAAAAGAAATTTTAAACCAGACTACATCTATTGGGATGACCCGAATGAATTAGTTGATCGCTTGAGACTACTTACAGCCTCTCGAACAGCTGGTAATACAGGTCATGACAATGAAATTATGTCCATTATTGAAGAGTTACGTGAAGCTGAAATTATATATTAATAAGTGTTAAATGAACTATAGTTCAGTATCAAAATGAGCATTGATGTGTTCGGACATCCTCTCAGTCAAAGAGGAACTTGCTCGGCACATAATAGAAAACGAAGTGCGACTAGTTTATCAAATCACATCTTCATTACGATTAGACATTGACAATAGTAACGTGTTGTTAAAAATTCTTGAAGACTCTATAACAGAAAAATTCAAAATTCTCGAAAGAGACATAAACCAAGATTTATCATATCGAAATGCTGAAATTATTGGCGAACTGGATTCTCGTTTGAGAGTTCTTGAAAATGAAAGACAAAAAATTGATAGTGGTGAATGAGCTTCACACTCAAGCTCGAAAAAATTATCCTCGACGTCGAGTTGAAATGCGTGACATCGATGATACTTGGCAAGCAGATTTGGTAGAAATGATACCATATTCCAAAGTTAATAAAGGATACAAGTACTTACTTACTGTTATAGATACATTTTCCAAATATGCTTGGGCTGTTCCTGTAAAGAGTAAAAGTGGAAAAGATGTCACTGAAGCAATGAAATCTATTTTTGCAGAAGGACGTATTCCAAAAAATTTGCATTCTGACAAAGGAAAAGAATTTTACAATTTACAATTTGAAGCTTTGATGAAATTACAAAAAATAAATTTCTATTCAACTTATAGCAATTTAAAAGCATCTATTGTAGAACGATTTAATCGAACACTTAAAAGAAAAATGTGGATGCAGTTCAGTTTACGAGGAAATTACAAGTGGCATGATATACTACCTAAATTGATTTCCACTTATAACAATACAAAACATCGAACAATTAGAATGAAGCCCAAAGATGTCACTGCATCAGATGTTGAGACTTTGAAAGAACGATTCTTCAAACTCAGAAAAATATCTTTGAAAAAACCAAAGTTCAAAATTGGAGATAAAGTTCGAGTCAGCAAGTATAAAAACATATTCGAGAAAGGATACACTCCTAACTGGACGACTGAAATATTTACTGTGGATAAAGTCAAGTCAACTAAACCTGTTACTTACAAATTGAAGGATTACCAAGATCAACCAATCAGTGGAGGATTCTATGAAGAGGAACTGTTGAAAGTAAAATATGCTGATATCTATCTTGTAGAAAAAGTTCTAAAGACGCGTGGAAATAAAACTTTTGTCAAGTGGTTAGGCTTTGATAATTCTCATAATGGTTGGATAGATAAAACAGATTTATGAATCAATAATGAATCAATAACCCATGCAGCGCGTAATCTTACTGTAATATTACAGTAGTATTAAATGAAATATTTGTAATACTACAGTGTAATATTATAGTAATATTACAGCTATATTAAAATGTCCGCCTCAAGGTAATATTACAAGTATTACTGAGGGAATATTACACGTGATATTGAGGGAATATTACACGTAATATTGAAGGAATATTACACGTAATATTGAGGGAATGTTACACGTAATATTGAAGGAATGTTACGCGTAATATTGAGGGAATATTACACGGCAATAATAAAAAAAATTGAAAAATCGCAAGAAAATTTATATTTAATTGAAAAAGGAACAAAAAATTGAATTAATTCCATGAAAGTGAAAAACTGAAGATATCAGAACAAAAATATTTTTTTATTTGATACACTACCGTCCGAAATTGTGCGAACTCTGCTTTTTCAACAACTATAAAACTGTTCAAATCTTCAAAAATATTAAAACTAAAATTTTTTCCTCTTTATTTTATTAAAGCTAATAAAATTCTGAAAGAAATGACACCTTGACAAAGAGAATATGTTAATTTTTCAATTAGATATCTAAGAAAAACCCAATTTTCAATGTTTTTACTATTTTTTTTATTTCTCTGGCAAAAATTAATATTTTTAAACGTTCTTGGGCTCATTGAAATCGTATTTTGTTATGCAATTCAAATTATATAAAAAAATTCATGTACACATTCTTCCCTAGCGTATGCAAACCGTGAAAGTTGGCTCATAAAATGTCAAAAAATTTTGATTAATATTCATATGACAAAAAATGATCAGTAAAATGTATAAATCTTAAATTTACTTACATAAATCAGAGAAGTTTAGAATGATATATTTACTTGATTTTTAAACATTATATTTTATTGTAGAATTAAATTTAAATTTTTTGACATTTTATGAGCCAACTTTCACGGTTTGCATACGCTAGGGAAGAATGTGTACATGAATTGTTTTATATAATTTGAATTGCATAACAAAATACTATTTCAATGAGCCTTAGAACGTTTAAAAATATTAATTTTTGCCAGAGAAATAAAAAAAATAGTAAAAACATTGAAAATTGGGTTTTTCATAGATATCTAATTAAAAAATTAACATATTCTCTTTGTCAAGGTGTCATTTCTTTCAGAATTTTATTAGCTTTAATAAAATAAAGAGGAAAAAATTTTAGTTTTAATATTTTTGAAGATTTGAACAGTTTTATAGTTGTTGAAAAAGCAGAGTTCGCACTATTTCGGACGGTAGTGTACAAAAATACAATTAAAAATGTTATTTGATTCGGACGTTTAAAAGATGCTTCAATTTGTCCTATAGAAGCCACATAATGTAGAAAATTCTGAAATATGAAAAAATAAAGAGAAATATTAGTTTATATTAATTTGATTTTATCAATTTAATAATTAATAATTTGTATGTAATATATGATAGTTCATTAATTATTCAATGATGTCATTATTGAAATTAAAAGATTTCAATACCGTATGTCTCAATTAAATCACAAAAAATCATAATTTTGACAAAAAATAATTTGTATTTGCTAGAGGTATGCAAAAAGCTCGAATGGCCGAGCCCGAGCTTGACTCGATGTATCAAATATTCGAATTTTTTTAGCACTCGAGTGAATTCGAGCATATTAAACGTTCAATTCTCATTGTTTTGCTAAAGTTACTAAATCAGTCAACAGATAAATGAATAATTACATATTTGGAATTACAAACTCATGAAAAAATAGTAATTGGCTTGAAACAATAGAATATTGAAATTTAATTTACATGGGTACTCGATTATTTTGAGTGCTCGAATTTACTCGAGTTTTTATACAGCTCGGCTAGAGCTCGAATTGATATGGCTTGGCTCGGTCCAGATCGAAAAACAAAAGCTTAGGTATAATGACTTAATAATTACTTAGAATTATTATTTACTTGAATTTTTATTAATTGATTACCTCAGTAATATTTTTCTCAGTCAAGATACGGGTGTTCCGCGTCATAAGTAAAATTGCCATAACGGCCTGAAGTTTAAAAATTTCTGGCAATCGCCTGCGAAATTTCATGAAATGAGTACGAATTATATTGACTCATTAGATGTTAATGGGTTCTGCTTCTGTTAGTCGAACACGTTTGCTATAATTAAAATAACCAAAAACTATAAGAAAGGAAAAAAAGATTTGTCTGGGCGTCCATCAAAACAAGAACAAAAATTATCTTGCATTTCTCTCAACTTTTAGAATTTGTTTTACAAAACATTATTTTATCAACAAATAATATTGGATATTTAGTAAACATAATTTTTAATAACTGAACTAAGCAAAATTTATAATATTTTTATACTTATAAAATTTATGAGTTTCCTTTTTAACCATATTAAAACTTTTTCAAATTTAATCCGTGGCAAAGAATTCCTAAATACTTGAAATAATTTTTAAATTAGTAAAATTCTCAATGTTTGAGCTCAAACACTTTTTAAAGTAAGTCTAAATTAAAAATAAATGCTAAAAATTATTTAAATCCATTCAATAAATAAAATTTTGAATAACGGAATGATTAAAAGGACGCCACAGGATTTATTTATTAGTTTTAGCTCCAAGTAAGATGTTCTATAATTTGGGATTTTTTAGTTCTTTCTTAAAATGACAAAAAATACGAAATTGCAATAAAAATTACTGGAAGCCAAAATTAATGTAAATCCTGCCAGATCATTTGAATTTTTAATTAATTAAAGTTTAGAATAATATATTGTTTTATTGATTGGAATTTAGAATAATAATTTTTCAAGTAATTAATGTTCGGAATAACTATAATCTGAATTGATGGACATTTGGGTTAATTGAATTTTGATTGATCAAAATGTTTACTAATGGAATTTTCAATTCACTTACTTTCCTTGTCGTATTTCTCGTGTTTTGAAATTAATTAACCATGTTCCTACATTTTTTTCAATTTCAGCCATTGAAGCTTGAATTCCGTAAACGTTCTGAACAGCTTCTAGAAATTAAAATTATAAAATGTAGATTTAAAAAAATGATGAAACTGAAACTGGCATCCAGTTGTCAGCACCCAGTTATTTTTTCCAACTTTCATATTAAACAAAAAACATGAGCGAAAAAAATATTCAATTTTCAAAATTAAGCGGGTGTTGATAACAAGAATAGACACAAAAATAAGGTAGACACAAATTAAATCTTTAATTATATTATCAGGCATCACAGTGGCATTTTCACTTCAATAGTCAAGGGGAATTTTTCAAAAGAAAACAGGGGAATCTGAAAATAAAATAGCAAAAATTAGCATCAAGACTCAAAAAGTAGTAGAAAAGTACCGTCAAAGTGGGTAACTTCGGACAGGCAGCCAACTCTGGATACTTGTACTTTTTTAAAAATATTTTGTTTTTCCCTTCCACATAATAGTTTTTGTATAAGAAGTTAGCGTTTTCTTTGTTTTATTGAACATCCAAGGAATATATAATTTGTTTGAATAGAATTATTTGAGAAAATGTTATTTTGTAGAGTAACTTTGGACATAGTAATAATATATATCATAGTTAGAAAAAGTCACAATTATTGCTATTATTCGAAAAGCACAATGTATAAAGTGTCCAAAGTTACCCGACTTTGGAGGCTAACTTTGGACACTCGTTTTTTGATAGAGAAATAACAGAGATAAATAATAAAATTTAACTACACAAATCATCACAAAAGAACCTAAAGAATATATATTCCAAACATTAAGCCTCTAGATATTGTATT